GGAGGGTGGCAGCCAGGCCGGAGCTCCGGGGCCGAAGAACCAGGGCGTCAGGTTGTGTCCACCGGGTCCTGGTCCCCTTGTCCTCAGGATTAGACAGGACCAGGGAGAGGCTCCCGGGTGCTCTGCTTATGCGCAGCCCGCCCCGCCCTCCCCATGCCCTGCAGCCTGGACCTGCTGTGCACACGGGTCCCTGCATGTCGTCTCCTCCTCCTCCTCCTCCTCTTCCTCCTCCTCCTGCAGAGACAGGGCCCAGGACACACACAAGGATCTGCCCTGGCCGAGGCAGCAGCACTGGCTGGAAGGCCGCATTTGGATCCCTCAGCTCCGGTGACATCTCACCAGCCCTCTGCACCCAGTGACACAGCCACACCCTCAGGACATGGGTCCTCAGCCCGGCCGGCGTGGCTCAGAGGTTGAGCATCGACCTATGAATGAGGAGGTCAGGGGTGTATTCCGGGTCAGGGCACAGGCCCAGGTTTTGGGCTTGATCCCAGTGGGAGGTGTGCAAAGTCAGCCCCTCAATGATCCTCTCTCATCATTGATGCTTCTGTCTCTCTCTGCCTCTTCCTTCCTCTCTGACATCAATAAAAATGTATTTTAAAACAGAAAGGAACGTTGGTTCCATTTGGAGTCCATGTCCACAGCAGAGGCCTTGGTCACACTGGAGGACCAGGCTGAGCATCACTGATCAGCCCACCCCCGGCCCCACCTCCTCTCAGCACAGCCCTGGGGTGAGGCCCCTCCTGGGCTCCCAGTCTCTCAGGGAGGAGCTGCCTCCAGGTGGAATCTTCATCATCCTCATCGTCATCATCATCATCATCGTCACAGCTCAGAGTGCTCCTTTAGGGAGCACAAGAGAAGGGGGCTGGGAGAACATCTCGCTGTCCTCCCACCCGCACCCCCGGGTCAGCGGGAGGTCACAGGTGCTGGCAGCTTCCCCGGGGACAGCACAGACAGAAGGAGCTCAGCTGAGTCCCTGCAGGAGGGAAGGTCACTGTCCTCACCCCGAGGTCAGGGGCGCCCCCTGCAGCCTCGGGCGGGAGAGCCTGTGGGACACTGTAGTGGGTGCAGGCCCTGCTCTGAGGCGGGTCCATCCTGGAACCAGAAGGAAGGCCATCCGGGGCTTCCCCAGCGTTTTCTCCAGGGGCCTGGGCAGGAAGGCTGGGGCTCAGGTCTCACCCACCTCCCATGGCTGTGTTCTTAAAGGGCCAGGCTGATGATCACACAAAATGACCCCAAACAGGCATGGATGGTTTCCTGTGTGGCTTTCCCCTCCATGGATCTGCCCATGTTCCACTCTCACAGGCACTCAATGTCCTCAGCTCTGTCTGTGGCCATTGAATGGGGACCAGGAAGGGATTGCTCTCCCCAAAGCCACGCCCACCTGTAGCCACGCCCACCGCATCCCAAAGGGCCCCGCCCAGAGGCCACGGCATTGCCAGCCAACACCCCCTTCCTCAGAGGGAGGGGCCATCCACAGAGACAGGCTCAGGGAGTGACATGCTTTTCAGGAGCCGCTCCATCTGTGAACGGGGATGGGGCCCAGGCTTTGTCCTAGCTCCTGTCCCTTCTCTGCCCCCAGCCCCTGAGGACCCTCAGCACCCTGACCTCTCCCGGGAGGGCTGGACACAGCTCACTCTTCATGAACGTGGGAGGCAGCATTTCCAACTGTTCCCAGAACATCAGCTCTCAGAGACGTCAATGCGGGCACCTGCCACGGCTGGGCCAGGATGAGACTCTGCAGTGAGCGCCAGTGTCTGTGCCATCAGACCAGGATGTGGGAACAGCGTCAGGGACCTGGGGAGCAGCAGACACCAGAGGGGCCTCAGGATTTGGACCAGGGAGATGTAGTGTGTCCTGTGGCCAGCAGGGGGCAATGTGGGATCGCCCTGTGGCCCACACACAGCTGCTCACTGAGTAGTTTCCACTCACAGGAGCCTGGGCCTGGGGCCTGGGCCCTGTGCGCCCTGATGGGGAGAAGCTGTGTCTGTGCTGGCAGCACCCCCTGAGCAATAGCCTCTGTGTGGTCTCAGCAGGTGCTTCCTCCCAGGGCACCCCCCGCCCCCAAGGGCTGAGCCCACCTCCATGCCCCTCAGTCTGGGGTGTGAGATGAGCTGCAGCCCCAGGGCCCAGGGAGGGGCTGGGCAGTCCCTGGAGGGACCCCCATTTGCATGGCAGCCCCTCCCCTGGCAGAGGGCGGGGGTGAAAAGGAGGCCTGGGCAGCCCAGCCCCACTGTGGGCTCAGGGCTGTGAGCACCATGGCCTGGACTCCTCTGCTCCTGGCGCTCCTCTCTCTCTGCACAGGTAGGGCCAGGCCTGGGCCCAGGCTCCTTCCCTTCCTGCTCGGTCTCCTGGGAACCTGCCCCTGGTCCCTGCCCCTCCCTGACAAGTGTCTGTGTCTGCAGGGTCCCTGTCCCAGCCTGTGCTGACCCAGCCGCCCTCCCTCTCTGCCTCTCCGGGAGCCACAGTCAGACTCACCTGCACCCTGAGCAGCGGCTACAATGTTGGCAGCTACTACATATCCTGGCACCAGCAGAAGCCAGGGAGCCCTCCCCGGTATCTCTTGTACTACTACTCAGACTCATATAAGGACCAGGGCTCCGGGGTCCCCAGCCGCTTCTCTGGATCCAAAGACGCCTCGGCCAATGCGGGGCTCCTGACCATCTCGGGGCTGCAGCCTGAGGACGAGGCGGACTATTACTGTCAGTCCTATCATAGTGGCTATAACCACAGTGATTCAGGCCCACGGGGAAGTGAGACAAAAACCTCCAGAGCCTCCACCCTGGGGCTGCCTTCACCTGCCCCACCAGGGGGCGCTCTCTGCTGCCTCCTGCTGGAAGGCCTGTGCTGAGAAGGAGGCTCTGAGTCCCTCTGTGTCATTCACTCTCCCCCTGACCTGAAGGATGCTGCTCTGTGTCTTATGCAGTCCTCCCTGTGGGCAGCTGGGCCTGGGCACTTCTGACAACGGGGTTGGGGCGAGGCCTGGGAGGGGGCTGCTCTGCCCATGTGGGACTTCTGGAATCTTCCTCTGGGCCCCACCTGGGAGAGGCAGCAGCACCCTCTTCTCTAGGCTCTCACCCAGAATAACACCCCCTGACGTCTCCAATCAGCCCCCGGGGGTGCCAAATCACCCCAGCTTGAGAAACACGTTGTCCAAAGCACATGTTCTCAGCTTTTAGGCAGACTTTGACCTTCAGGCCTCTTCATGCCCGTCAGTTGGAGGGAGACTAGATGTGGCCTCTGCCTCTGCCTCTGTGTTCCCACCTGTCAGACCAAACCAACTCACCTGAGCTCAGAGAGCCTGAATCCAGTCACAGGCAACAGTCAGGTGCAATCTCCTCTCAACCAGAGCGGGGCGCCATTCCTGGTTGAACTAGGAGCACAGTTAATATTTACAATTTCCCCAGCGCTCATCCGTGTACTGCTCCATCCTCCTTTATCTCTCGGGAAGAGGTGATAAGCATGGGATAAAAGATGAATGAACCCAGGCCCAGGCCCTTGTTTTAATCCCCATGTTCGTCCCAGAGAGCAGACAGGAGGGGCAGGCGTGTGAGGAGCCATCAGTGAGGATGGGAGACAGGACGCCCTCCACGGGCACATGACCTGCCGAACACATGGCAGACAATCTACTGTCTGCTCACATTTCCCTGAATGTACGGTCTGTAAGTTACTCAATGTCACATGACACTATACAGGCGAAGGTCTACCATGGGAACAACAACAGTTAATAAGTTGCCTGGGGGTTGGGAATAGGGGGATTCATGAAGGAAAATGAAGGGCGTGAGGTGTCTGTGTGACTGACACGGGGCCGCACACGGTGACGCGGGGGCAGGAAGCGGGTAAAAGAGAGCTGAGGGCACACGGGCCGGTCAGGCCTTTATTCTGCTCCCACACCCGCCCCCTCCCAGCGCCACACACAGGACACCCTGTCCCTCCTCAGCTCCATCAGCACCACGGCCAGCTCCCTGTCCACGCTCAGATGACAGGACATCACCCGCCCCCATTTCCCGGCATCTTCAAACACATCGCAATCTCCCACATGTCACAAAATAAACACTGAGACAGAACGCACAGGAGGTATAGATTTATTTAAAATATAAACAAATTTCGGAACACTGAAAAAATCCAAACAAGAAGCACAGGACACAGCTATGCAGATCACCACACAGGTGACAAAAGTCAGTTCCTGAATGAATGAGCTGTGGCTCCTCCCACTGGCCCACGGGAGGCCTGCAGACGCCATGATGCTTATGGGTCCGTCCCATCAGATCTCTGTGAGCCTGCACGTGCCCCTCAAGGCGTGGAAGGTCTGGAGAGACGTCCTCCTTAGATTTTGGTCCTGAGTGTGTTCCCGGGAAACGCCCTGAGCAGCCCTCTGAGTCCCGGTCTCCGGAGGCAGGGGTCCCTGGGCTGTGATGTGGGACAGGAGGGTCCTGTGCACTCACTTGTGCACCATCTGCACTGGAGGGGAAACCACGTCCATTTGTCCTTGGTGGACCTGATGGCGCCTCCCACAGGCGGGACTCCTCCTGGGAGGGAGGCTGCAGGGAGCGCTCCAGGCATCAGGCACAGGACCCGGGACCCGGCCACAGACAATCCCCTCTGAGCTGCAGGTCCAGCTGGGCTCTCAGAGCTTTGGGCCAAGGGCAGGTGTGTGCTGCCACCAAGAAGGGGGCGCTGTGGGACCGCCCTGTGGTCCAAATGCAGCTGCACATTAAGGACCCTTAACTGATAGGAGCCTGGGCATGAGGCTGGGCCCTGTGCTCAGTGATGTAGTGTCTCAGCAGGTGCTTCCTCCCAGGGCCCCCCAAGGGCTGAGCCCACCTCCCTGCCCCTCAGTCTGGGGTGTGAGCTGAGCTGCAGCCCCAGGGCCCAGGGAGGGGCTGGGCAGTGCCTGGAGGGCCCCCATTTGCATGGCAGCCCCTCCCCTGGCAGAGGGCAGGGGAGAAAAGGAGGCCTGGGCAGCCCAGCCCCACTGTGGGCTCAGGGCTGTGAGCACCATGGCCTGGACTCCTCTGCTCCTGGCGCTCCTCTCTCACTGCACAGGTAGGGCCAGGCCTGGGCCCAGGCTCCTTCCCTTCCTGCTGGGTCTCCTGGGCACCTGCCCCTGGTCCCTGCCCCTCACTGACCAGTGTCTGTGTCTGCAGGGTCCCTCTCCCAGCCTGTGCTGACCCAGCCGCCCTCCCTCTCTGCCTCTCCGGGAGCCACAGCCAGACTCACCTGCACGCTGAGCAGCGGCTTCAGTGTTGGTGACTATGCTATACGCTGGTTCGAGCAGAAGCCAGGGAGCCCTCCCCGGTATCTCCTGAAATATAAATCAGACTCAGATAAGTACCAGGGCTCCGGGGTCCCCAGCCGCTTCTCTGGATCCAAAGACGCCTCGGCCAATGCGGGGCTCCTGACCATCTCGGGGCTGCAGGCTGAGGATGAGGCTGAGTATCACTGCAATGCAGATCTGGGCGATGGGAACAGCAACCGTTACCCACAGTGACTCAGAGGACGAGGAAGTGAGACCAAAACCCTGGCCCCGAGGCGGGGGCTCGGAGCCTCCTGCAGCCAGGAGCTTGTGGGGCCCATGTCGGTGGCTCCCCTGCAGGGACCTGTGTCCCGGGAGGAGGGAGGTCACACTCGATGGAGCAGCAGCACAGGCGTCCCAGGAGCACACGGGAGGTCAGGGGCCCCGCCCTCCATCACGTGTCGGGGGATTCTAAGAAGAAGGAATATTATTATTTGGCTCATTTTATCCTCATTGGAGTCGGGACTGACTGAAGCCATATCCCAGAATGCTCCTGGTCCATCATGGCTCCTGAGCATGCCACTGAGATCAGCAATGACACCCTCACTGCCCTGAGGACCGACAGCTGCTGAGAACGGACTGTGTTCTTTCTCCCTGTGCGTGAGGGTGTAAGTCTCACCTCAGCACACGGCATGCTGTCAGGAACACAGTAAGAGCTGATGACACTGAGTGAATGTTTTTATTTAAAAAAAATTAAAGCATATTTTCATTGATCTCAGAGAGGAAGGGAGAAGGCGAAGGAATAGACTCACTGATGAGGAGAATCATGGACCAGCTGCCCCCTGGACGCCTCCTCCTGGGGATGGAGAATGCAGCCCGGCCATGGCCCCGACCAGGACCCACTGAAACTTCCTGGCTCACAGGCCACCGCTCCACTCTGACCCAGGCTGGCTGGGCTGAGTGAATATTTGTAAATAAAAGTCCCTTCTTTCCCCTTGTTTGTCTCGTCTGCTGCTTCCCCAGAGCTCTTCCCTCTTGGCCCTTCTGACCCCCAATGTGTGGGGAGTGGCTCCCCGACAGCAGTTCTCTGACCCCAGCTGATGCCCCACAACAGCACTCAGTGCTCACCCAGCTGCCCAGAGAGGGTGTCAGACCTGCAGTTAAAGGGCCAGTCCCCCTGATGCCTGCAGGTCAGATGCCAATTATAGGCAGGAGGTCCGAGGATTCACCCAACGCATGGGCTGTGATCAAAGGTTCCCAGGAAAACGCCCATGATCTCCATTAAGGTGCCGTATTCATTAGCTAACTGCACCCGAGCCCTCTCCCTTTAATGGAACGGGGCGCAGGTGAGGGGCTCCCCAGCTTCTCATCCTCCCGACCTCTCCCTTGGCCTGTCCTCACCCAGGAGCCCGCCCAGCGCCTGTTCATCAACCACAGGCCCGCCCGCCCCCCAGGGAGTGACAAGGGACTCAGGAGCCTGTGCAGGGGCCAGGGGCGGAGACCAGCATATGTTTCCTGTCATCTCACACACTGTGTCTGCACCCATACAGGGACCCCCAGACAGCCATGCTCCCCACACATTCCTGTCAAGTGTGTGACCCTCTGTGACTCCTGATCCGTCCCATGTGACATGTGCGTGTTCCCCCTGGTCATGGACACAGGCTGTGGTGTCAGCGTAGACACAGGGGTCTGGGGCTCACCCTGTCCTGTGCCTCCTGAGGCCCGAAAGCCCCGCGGCTGAGGGTCGTGTGGCTGCAGAGACCAGAGGGGACAGACGCCCCTCACCCCACAGGACCGGGTTCCTAATGGAGTGAGTGGCCCCCTGACCCCTGCACCCCGGCCCCCGACCCCTTCCCTGTGCTGCTGGGGGAAGAGCTCACTGCGCATCTGCCATTCATGGAGAGTGACCCCCAGCCTTCATGTTCCCTACGTGCACTTTGACCTTTCGCCTCAGAGGGCCCTGGGACTGAGCACTGCAGTCCCCCCCACAGTGTCTCAGGGGAACAGCAGCTGTAAGGAGCCCACACACATGTGAGCAGAGAGACCTGAAGCTGTGGGGCCTGTGGCCAGCAGGGGGTGCTGGGGACCGCTCTGTGGGCTTCACACTGCAGCTGAGGGAGGACCATTCCCTCAGAGGGGAGCCCTGAGCTGCCTGCAGGGGACTCAGCAGCTGTGTCCTCTCAGGCCTGGCAGTGCCCCCTGAGCAGGTCCACCTGTGTGGTCTCAGCAGGTGCTTCCTCCCAGCGCCCCCAATGGGTGAGCCCACCTCCATGCCCCTCAGTCTGGGGTGTGAGCTGAGCTGCAGCCCCAGGGCCCAGGGAGAGGCTGGGCAGTCCCTGGAGGGACCCCCATTTGCATGGCAGCCCCTCCTCTGGCAGAGGGCGGGGGTGAAAAGGAGGCCTGGGCAGCCCAGCCCCACTGTGGGCTCAGGGCTGTGAGCACCATGGCCTGGACTCCTCTGCTCCTGGCGCTCCTCTCTCTCTGCACAGGTAGGGCCAGGCCTGGGCCCAGGCTCCTTCCCTCCCTGCTCGGTCTCCTGGGAACCTGCCCCTGGTCCCTGCCCCTCACTGACCAGTGTCTGTGTCTGCAGGGTCCCTCTCCCAGCCTGTGCTGACCCAGCCGCCCTCCCTCTCTGCCTCTCCGGGAGCCACAGCCAGACTCACCTGCACTCTGAGTGGTATTTCCTATCAGTTTAGTGATTACTGGATAAGCTGGTACCAGCAGAAGCCGGGGACCCCTCCCCGGTATCTCCTGCAATATAAATCAGACTCAGATAAGGGCCAGGGCTCCGGGGTCCCCAGCCGCTTCTCTGGGTCCAAAGATGGCTCGGCCAATGCGGGGCTCCTGACCATCTCGGGGCTGCAGCCTGAGGACGAGGCTCAGTATTACTGTGTGACCAGGGAGAATAATGCTTCTCACAGTGACACACTCACATGGGGAAGTGGGACAAAAACCTCCCCCTCCCCAGAGTCTGGGTTCCTAACAACTGAACCTGCTGAAAAGACATCCCTGTGGAAAGTATACATATGGGGGAGAGAGAGAGAGAGACAGAGGGAGAGACAAGAGAGATGGAGAAAGAGAGAAACATCAATGATGAGAGGGAATCATTGATCAGCTGCCTCCTGTAGGCCCCATATTTGCGATAGTGTCTGCATCCCAGGCATGAGCCCTGAATAGGAATCAAACCATGACCTCCTGGATCCTAGGTTAATGCCCAACCACTGAGCCACCAGGCCCGGCCCACAGGGTCTCTGTGACCACCCAGGTCTCCAGGCTGTCACGTGACTTAATAAACCCGCTGCCACCAGGAGCTGCCAGGCCAGGGGCAGCTGGGGGAGCACCTGCCTCCTCTCCTGCAGGGCCACGGGGCTCCCTGTCCCTGTGATGTGAACCAGGGGACCCCGCTCTCCCCGTTGTCTGTCTCCATGGGCTCAACACCCCCTCTCCCTTTCCTCCTGGTTTCCTAATGCCACGTGGTCACCCTGTGCCTGCTTTCCAAACCGTGACTCAGCACTCCTGGGCGGCACGACACTGACCACCCCGTCCCTCCTCTGTGACTGGGTCCCCCAGAGCCGCCTGCTCCAGGCTCAGGATTGACCAGGTCCCAGGCGATGGCTGTTTCTGACGTGAACTAAGGAAACAGCTGTGTGACCTGTCCCCAGAGCCCAGGCCCCTCCCAGCAGGCGGCCCGTCCCCAGAGCAGGGCCTCCGTGCCCAGAGGTCAGAGCAGGGACCCCTCCCTCCCCGGCTCCTGTGCCCGAGGCTCCTGCCCAGCCCTGTGCCTGCTGACCAGGCCCTCAGCCGCCAGGGGCTTGGGGCCTCAGGCCCAGGAGGAGGCCTGGTCACAGGGCTGGCGTCCCCTCTGCTGGGACCCTGACCTTTAGAGCCATCAGGGGGAGGGGCTGTCAGGGGGAAAGGGCAGCCTGAGTGGAGCGGGGACGGACTGGGGTGGGAGGGAGGCCCTGAGTGTTCTGGGTAGGAAGACCTGCCAGAGCAGAAGGAACTGGGCTCTGGAGTGTCTGAGGAGAGACATGATGGGGTTAATGAGTTGATGGTTTTATCTAAATTGATGGGATTAACGATTTGATAGTGTTAATGGGTTGATGGTTTTATCTAAATTGAAGGGTTTATGTAAATTGGTGGGGTTAATGAGTTGATGGGTTTAACAATAGGGTTAGGGTTAGGGCTTAGGGTCTGGGACTATCACAGGGAAAACCCGCTCTGTTCAGGGAATGTCTCCTGGGCCAGGCGGGTGCCTGCCACCCCTGGGCCACATTCCTCTTGTTGATCCCCTTTTCCTGGAAGGCGGCCATGATTGCTCATTGGCTCCGGGTCTGTGGCTCTGGGGCTGCGATGACGACGAGGCACCCCCACCCCGAGCCTGGTACCCCACCCCGAAGCCTAGTACCCTCCAAGCGCTGGCCTCACCGAGCACAAACCGAAGATGACTTGGCGTGATGATGGGTTTAACGTGCGAAACTTCCAGGCACAGAAAGTCAGAGGCTGAGCCCTCAACGCCTACAGCTGAAAAGGGTTCTAACGGAGCCTCTATTTCTGTTATTATGTCCTTGGGAGCTCAGGGGCCAAATGACAACGTCAGCGCAGACACAGCTATGCACCCATGTCACCTCATGTTGCCCACATGCGTTCTGACCCTCAATCAGCCTGTCATTCGTCCTTGTACAATTTACACAATTAAAAAAATACGGAGCATTTTTAAATTATTCCGTGAGCCGTGAGAATGGCCTTTCCACAGGATCCTCCCGAGACTCGCACCCCTGCCTGGCCCAGGAGGGAGGACCCTCACCTGTTGGAAGCTCAGGAGCCAAGGGAGCAGGGGAAGGGGAGGGGCTGGAGGGGCTTAAAGGCAGCGGTAGTTCCCGCTGCGACCAGCAGGGGCCGCTGTGAGACCGTCCATGGGGTTGGCCTGGGCCTGGTCTCTCCCAGGAGGCAGCGGGGCAGGGCCAGGCTTCCTGTGAGGCCTGGGCAGGCGGGTCCTCCTGGGAGGGTGTCTCCCCTGCACGTGGTGTGTGCCCTCCAGCAGCTGCTTCCTCCCAGCCCGCCCCCCCCCCCCCCCACACACACACGGGGAAACCAGTGCACCCACCGGCTGCCCTCCCTGCTCAGGGGCCGGAGACCCTGGGGCAGAGGGGGTGGGGGCACATTTGCATGAGCAGCCCCTTTCTGTGCCTGGGGAGGGGATAAGAACCCTGGACTGCCAGCCCCAGCTCTGTGTCCTGGGAACAGGCTGCTCCACCATGGCCTGGACCCCTCTGCTCCTGGCGCTCCTCTCTCTCTGCACAGGTAGGGCCAGGCCTGGGCCCAGGCTCCTTCCCTTCCTGCTCGGTCTCCTGGGAACCTGACCCTGGTCCCTGCCCCTCACTGACCAGTGTCTGTGTCTGCAGGGTCCCTCTCCCAGCCTGTGCTGACCCAGCCGCCCTCCCTCTCTGCATCTCCGGGAGCCACAGCCAGACTCACCTGCACCCTGAGGAGTGACATCAGTGTTGGCAGCTACTGGATATCCTGGCACCAGCAGAAGCCAGGGAGCCCTCCCAGGTTTCTCCTGAGCTATTACTCAGATTCCAATAAGCACCAGGGCTCCGGGGTCCCCAGCCGCTTCTCTGGATCCAAAGACGCCTCGGCCAATGCGGGGCTCCTGACCATCTCGGGGCTGCAGCCCGAGGACGAGGCTCACTATCACTGTGCGATCTGGCACAGCAGTGCTTCCCACAGTGACACACTCAGATGGGGAAGTGGGACAAAAACCTCACCCTCCCAGAGTCTGATTTCATATCATCTGACCCTGTTAATCTAACATCCAGGAGCAAACTCCACGGGGAAGAACCTTCTGGTTCCTGATGGGTCACTTTCCCCGTTCGCTCCCATGACTCTGCGTCTCAGAAGCACAGAACCAGCACCAACACCCACTGGTCCCCACGTCCCTGAACGGCGGCCTGTCATCCGTGGGCCCCAGACCAGGGCCCGGGCGATGGCTGTGTCTGACGTGAACTAAGGAAACAGCTGTGTGACCTGTTCCCAGAGCCCAGGCCCCTCCCAGCAGGCGGCCCGTCCCCGGAGCAGGGCCTCCGCGCCCAGAGGTCAGAGCAGGGACCCCTCCCTCCCGGCTCCTGCGCCCGAGGCTCCTGCCCAGCCCTGTGCCCGCTGAGCAGGCCCTCAGCTGGGAGGGGCTGGGGGGCCTCAGGCCCAGAGGAGGCCCGGGCACAGGGCTGATGTCACCTCTGCTGGGACCCTGACCTTCAGAGCCATCAGGGGGAGGGGCTGTCAGAGGGGAAGGGGGTCTGGGGTGACCCTGGGAAGCACGTTCCCTGAGTGACAGCAGCTCAGGTCTGACCGGGACCGGCCAGGGAGACGGGCCACGACTCCCAGGAGGAGGCGGAGTGGAGCAGAGAGTGTCCTGAGGGGACGGGGAGGCCACCTCAGGGGGCACCTGGATGCCCTGAGCCAGGGGGTCAGCTCCCAGAGCAGGGGGGAGGCAGGACGTGTCTCTCCTGGGCCTTAGTCAGCAGGGGACACAGTGGTGCGTCCAGGCCTGGCCACCAGGGGGCGCGCAGGGACCGCTGCTGAAGGGCTGGGCTCATCACAGCTGCAGCCTGTTCCCTGGCCCTGCCTGGTGCCCTGTGCTCAGGGCTCACAGCTGTGACCTTGCCACCCCCTGGACCCCACCCAGCCCCACCCCTGCCCTCACCCTGCCATCCTCAGGCACAGGGACCCACCCAGGGCCCAGGGAGGATCACCTGCACTCTGAGCACTGGCGTCAGTGTTGGCGGCTATGGCATATACTGGCACCAGCAGAAGCCAGGGAGCCCTCCCCGGTATCTCCTGTATTACTACACAGACTCAGATCAGCACCAGGGCTCCGGGGTCCCCAGCCGCTTCTCTGGATCCAAAGACGCCTCGGCCAATGCGGGGCTCCTGACCATCTCGGGGCTGCAGCCCGAGGACGAGGCTCACTATTACTGCGCTACAGATCATGGCAGTGGCAGCAGCTACCGTTACCCACAGTGCCTCAGAGGACGAGGAAGTGGGACCAAAACCCCTGGCCCAGAGGGGATGACTGTCTGCCCTTGGGTGTCAAACAAAGGGAGCCCGCCCAGCTCCCCCTCATCGGGCACAGGCCCGCCCGCCCCCCAGGGAGGGACAGAGAGACAGAAACATCAATGATGAGAGAGAATCATGGGCCAGCTGCCTCCTGAACGTCCCCCACTGGGGACTGAGGCCATCAAGAGGGTCTGTGCCCTGACCAGGGATTGACCCGTGACCTCCTGGGTCATAGGTCAATGCTCAATGCCTGAGCCCCGCCGGCCGGGCTGATGTTTGCTCACACACCCCTATGTCTAGCCCAAAATCTCGGGGTGACAAATGCACAACAAACCCCAGATTCAGCCACATGCCTGCTCCCCCACCTGACCTCCCCTGAGTCTGGGGGGTCAGGGGGCACCCCACCTCTCAGAGCTACTCCCACCACGTGACACTCCGGCCATTTCTTCCGCCCTCCCGGCCTGGGGCTCCGCCGGTCGCCTCCCCAGGTCCTGACTGGGGACACGTGCCATCCTCCCTCCCGTTTTCTGTTGTCACTTCCTCCAGCTGCCCCAGAACGCCCCTCACAAGGTCTCTCTGCCCCGCTTCCTCCTAGAACTTTCCTCAGAGCTAAGTCTGCAACCTGCAGGCCTGGCACCGGCCCCGGCACAGGGGCAGCCGGAGTAAAAAGGTCCCGGCACATGGCGTGAGGTCTCAGTGGAGCCGGACCTGCCCTGGGCCCGCGCTGATGTCCATGGAGCCGGTTCCGCGGAGACCGGGAGGCATCAGAGGAGCGTTCATTCCCGTCCTCCCGGCAGCCGGGGAGAGCAGCGGGGCACCCACACACACCTGCTCTGCACCCCGCAGCTGTATTGGCAGAAGGACAAGGATTACAGGGGACACAGGCACAGGGTGGCCAAATGGGCAGTTCACACGTAATGTGGCTGGAGATTTGCAAAGGCCTGTGGGTAAGCAAAGTTCTGTGGGTGAGCAAAGGTCTGTGGGGAAACCAAGGGTGAGCAAAGGACTGTGGGTAAGCAAAGGCCTGTGGGTGAGCAGAGACCTGTGGGTAAACCAAGGGTGTGCAAAGGCCTGAGGGTAAGCAAAGGCCTGTGGGTGAGCAGAGGCCTGTGGGTAAGCCAAGGGTGAGCAAAGGACTGTGGGTAAGCAAATGCCTTTGGGTTTGCAAAGGCCTGTGGGTAAGCAAAGGCCTGTGGGTAAGCAAAGGCCTGTGGGGAGCAGAGGCCTGTGGGGACAGAGGGTATGGGGAGCAGAGGCCTGTGGGGAGCAGAGGGCAGGCCATCTCTCATGCTCACAGGCAGTCCTGGCGGGAGGATGGGCCGCGTTCCCGGGGGAGCTCCCGGGTCCCACCTGCTTCTTCCACCAGAACAAACCCCAGAGCCCAGGGCAGGACCCCTTCTCCCCGTGCTCCGGTCCCGCCCCCTCCCCCCAGCTGCTCCGTGAAGGTCTGTGTCCCCTTCATGAGGGCCCCTTCCGCTCAGCACCCGGAGCGAGCCCCTCCTCTGAGCCCCTGCAGGGGCAGATCCACTCTGCCCTCTGTTCCCCGCGCTGTGTCCTGGGTCAGGGTTCCTGCGCCCGATTCAGGAAGGGTCACCCAAGGCCGCCCCCTGGAGGATGAGTCTCAATGCTGGAAGCACAGGTTCAAGGACTGGGTGAAGCAGGCTCTGGAGCACGGTGACCGCAAAAGGGGCTCCCCGAGGCCAGCAGAGGGCGCCGCGAGACCGGCTATGGGGGTTTCTGCAAAACTGGGGCTCCCAGCTGGGCAGCCCTCCAGGGACCCCAGGCCCCTGGGCTGGGCCTTTGATTCCTGTGGGAACTGGGCAGGCGGGGGGTCTCTGGGCCTGAGTCCCTGCACGTGGCTGTGTGCGGCCCCAGCAGCTGCTTCCTCCCAGCCCCACCCGTGGGGACACTGGTGCACAGGCTGGCCTCCTGGGCAAGGGCCCCACAGCCCTCTGTGGCCCTGGGCAAAGGGCGGGGGGCACATTTGCATGAGCTGCCCCTCCTCTGCCAGGCCAGCTGGGCGGGGATAAGAGGAGCCTGGAGCCTGAGCAGCTCAGCCCTGGCTCTGAGGACCCAGGATCAGCTGTGAGCACCATGGCCTGGCCCCCTGTGCTCCTCCTGCTCCTCGCTCACTGCACAGGTAGCCACAGGCCTCAGGCACCCGCAGCCCCTGCCCCTGTCCTTCTTCTCACCCCCCTGTGTCTGTGTCTGTGTCTGCAGGGTCCCTCTCCCAGCCTGTGCTGACCCAGCCGCCCTCCCTCTCTGCATCTCCGGGAGCCACGGCCAGACTCCCCTGCACCCTGAGCAGCGGCTACAATGTTGGCAGCTACTGGATATTCTGGTACCAGCAGAAGCCAGGGAGCCGGCCCCGGTATCTCCTGGAACACTACTCAAGTACAAACTTGGGACCTGGGGTCCCCAGCCGCTTCTCTGGATCCAAAGACGCCTCGACCAACACAGCCCATCTGCTCATCTCGGGGCTGCAGCCCGAGGACGAGGCCGACTATTACTGTCAGGTGTATGAGAGCAGTGCTGAGCACAGTGACACACTCAGATGGGGAAGTGGGACAAAAACCTCTGGCCTCCTTGCCCGAAGCTGCTGACACATGTTCAGAGGCAGGACCTGCCTGACTGGTCCCCGCAGGCCTGGCCCGGGGTGTGGGGTTAAGGGATGCTGTGAGCGGAGGGGCCACACGTCCACAGGGGAGGAGAGCCGGGAGCAGACGCTGTGAGCACAGGGCTCGCGGGGGCGGAGCCGCTGGCTTCCCTGGGAAGTGACCGCCTCACCCCCTCCTGGGCACCCTGGTCCGTTCCCGCGGGTCAAGGGGAAGGGAGAGGCCCATCGAGGGGGCGGCGAGCACATGCACTGTCGGAGCCGGGCATCCACCTGGGGACGGTGCGATGGGAGAGACGCGCCCAGGAGATCCAGAGCTGGGCTGGGTCTGGGGCCTCAGCAGCCGGGAAAGCCTGGGAGACTGACTGCTGGTTGCAAAGGGCACGGGTCCTCCCCACGGGGAGGGAGCATAACCAGCTTAGCAGAGAAGTGTCCCTCCCCTCTCCCTCTGTACAGCCGCGTGCCCTGTGCGCTCACTCACTCCTCCCTCTCAGCAGGGATGTGGCTCTGGCAGCCGCCTGGGGCCCTCAGACCACAAGCTCCACGGTGAGCTGTCACAGCGCCCAGAGGCTTATAAAAATCACTAAAGGCTTTAAAATCAGCCGTTTCCATGGGACTGCACACCGCTTTGGACTCGAAATTAATACCCGTGTCCCTTAAGAGGTCTGTGTGAAGCATGATCTTATTTTCAAATTAAAATACGCAAACCCCACCAAATCCGGTTTGGCTCAGTGGATAGAGCCTTGGCCTGTGGACTGAGGAGACACAGGTCCGATTCCGGTCAAGGCCATGGACCTTGGTTCGGGGCACAGCCCGGTGGGGGGTGTGCAGGAGCAGATGATCAATGTTTCTGACTATCCCTCTCCCTTCCTCTCTGTAAAAAAAAAAATCAATAAAATATATATTTAAAAATAAAATAATACCCAAAACCTTCTAATCCAATGAGACTAAATCCAATCTATTTTCACTGAAGACACTGGAGAATATGTCCAAAGATTGCTCTACTCATACACTCACCAGTCCTCCTAAGGGTTTCTTTTGTAATGGTTTCCAATCACAGCTTCCCTTCAATTTTATTTCCTATTAATTTCCGGTGTGTATGGCAGCACAGGGTTAGGCAGGGATAGATTTACAAAGTCCCC